ATCAGGGATTTAACCCAGGGCAAGCTACCTCTGAGCTACATCCCCAGCCCTGTTTTTTTATTTTATTTTGAGATATGCAAATTGCTCCCTAGCACTAGAATCTACTTAGAGCTTCCATAATTTTTAAAGTTCCTGTCTTAGCTTCCCAGGTTGCTGGGATTACAGAAATCTTTTACATATTTTTTCCTAATCGCTGGATCTAAGAACATGTAATGCCACAAATACATTGGGTATCTGTCAGGTACGATATGTACCTATATACATGCTTCATACAAGAACAAGGTTCGATATGTTTTACCACCCACCTCCAATGACCAATTTTCCTCCTCTTGGAAGTGATACTATTCTCATTTAGAATGCTTATACTCTATTGTAATATTTATAGAAAAGTTTTAAACATTTTCTCCCATGTTTATTCTCATCCTTGTTGGTGGCAAACCATAACTTTCTGCCTCCTAAAATAGTCTATAGGGCTTTGCAATGAGAGTTGAAAAGAACCACTATTCCAGTGAGAATCTGCACTCAGACTTCCACGAAAAGTCATGAATCTCACAGGGAAGGCCCTTCAGGAGCAAGGACAAAGTCACTGGAGACTTCAGAGTGCAGTGCCCAGTGTAATGTCATGATTCTAATGTGTGAAAGCAGCAGGGCGTGGACTTGGGACAGGTGCATTCCAGCTTCCTAACCAGGATGATTTGGCAAATCATTAACCATCCTAAATGCATTTGTAAAATGGGATAACAATATCTACCTTCTACGGTTGTTACTAGTGTAACTCCTGCACCCTAGGTAATGTTACTTGGCAGTTTGTCCAAGTCTACTGGTCACCAGCCCCTACCTGCCAAATGAAAAATGTGATTCCTCCTCTTTGTTTGTCTTTGAGAGAGCTATCACGGTGTCCTAGTTGCTGCTTCCAGCTCTTGACTGACATTGATCTACTCTAATGCCCCTTCTTCCACCTGCCACAGGTAGAAGGTCACCCAGGCACCCATAGTGGCCCTGTCCTATCCTTGACCTCTTACTCCCCTAGGATAATCTATTCTCTTCACCACTGCTGGATGGAATAATTTCCTTCTTCTTCCAATAGTTCTACCATTTTCACCCCACAGAGAGAAGGTTCAGGTATTACAGAGGCTTGGGGTCTTAGTAAAACAATCATTCTCAGAGGGCTGGTTTGTGTTTGTTTTGAACCACACAGACCTTTCCTTGCTGGACACACAGTCCCCAGGGGCTGGGTTGAGTTTGAGTATACTCACCTGCTTTATGATAAAACAGTGCCCAGTTCCCACCTCAGGCCCTGTGATGACTTCAACCCATTGTGCCTGACTTTTTTATTTAAGGTGATTTTCCTTCAGAGACCTTGTCCCTCCCTGTATTCTGGCTTCTCTCATGACTACACCATCTCTCATCCAATATATTTAAACCCCAAGTTATGGAAAGTGTTGAAGTCCTTCCTGTAGGGCTCATATGTTAGATGCACTTCAGAGGATGTCATATACCCTGGTGAAAGAAGTTCTACACTCATAACGTGGAGCCAGCTATAAGGTCCTGTTACATAAAGATGAAGGACAGCATATATAAAGAATCAAGTATTTTCAAATAAAATGAGGCAGCATAATCTCCTAGGTGGTTTTTGAACTGGTCTTTTATTATGCTGTTACTTTTCTTTTTGGTTATGGTCCTGGTTAGTAACTCAAGGTCACAGCTCCAGAGATTCTCTTCCCGCTGCACTCCTACAACATCAACTTTTCTATTAGATTGATACTGCTAGCTATCATCTCCCACCACATCCTCCATTATTCTGCTCCAGACACAGTGACACATCAGACACACCAGAACATGCCTAGAACATGCATTTGATCCTATCTTGGGGCCTGTGAACTTACCAGTGCCCTCTGTCTGGAATGCTCTCCCCCTAACAGCTGTGTGAGTCATCCTGCATTTCCTCCTGGTCTCTGGTCTAATGCCATTCATAAAGGCTTTTCCTAACCACTATGTAAAAAGGCAAGCTCCCCAGTTTGCCTGCTAGCTTTTTGTTCTGCTTTAATTCTTTCACTACTTGACATATAATTATTTGTTTGTTTGTTTGTTTTTTTACTATTGGTGTCTCCTTACTAAGATGTGAGTTCCTGAGGGCAGGGACCAAGAACAGTACCTGGTACCAGGCAGGAGTTCTAGAAACACCTGCCAAATGAACATATGTCGATTCTCTTATGCACAGGTGCCACACTCAAAACGCTGACTGAATGAATTTAATTCTTTCCTTCTCTTTACAACAGAAAGTAAGTTTGAAAAAGGGTAGAATAGTTGCTGTGAGCTCAGATGTTACAGTAAAATTTAATTATTGCCATTAGAATAGTACTTACTTTGTCCCTAAAGTAGACTGTGAACTGACTGAGATTAACTCAAAAGGCAATTATTTGTTTTTTTTTTTAAAGACTAATTATATAACCTGGAAAATTATGATTCAAAATTGAAAACACTAAAAAGAGTTGACTACCGTAGGACTTCTTGGTGAACAGTGAATTACATTTAGTTTAGGAAATAGTTTAAGAACGAATATTGAATTTGTGTCATGAAAAAGGGTCACACCTTTTTTTCCCAAATGATATAATAATATTATTTGAAAAGTATTTTCAATTTTCAGAAAAAACTCTTCCAAAAATTCTTAGCAAAATCGATTTCTCAATAATAATTATCATCCTGAAAAGCATTTACCAATGGACAGCTACACCTTCACAAGTGCCTTCCACACTAAGAGTATGAAGTATTGTGGACATACTGCCTTAAAAACTGCTGTAGTAGCTTTTTCAGAGCAAAGGAAACAAGATCATGAAGAAAGAGCCTACAGAATGGGAGAAAATATTTGCCACCTTCACTTCAGATAGAGCATTAAATTCCATCATATCTAAAGAACTAAAAAAAACATTAAACAAATAAACAAACAAACAAAAAACCCACCAAATAACCCAGTCAATAAATGGGCAAAGGAACTGAACAGGCACTTCACAGAAGAAATATGTATGATCAACAAATGTATGAAAAAATGATGCAGTCACATCAATGTTTATAGCAGCTTAATTCACAATAGTTAATTAAGCTATTAAACCAACCTAGGTGCCCTTCAACAGATGAATGGATGAAGAAAATATGGTACATATACACAATGGAATATTACTCAGTCATAAAGAAGAATGGCTTTACAACATTTGCAAATGCATGAACCTGGAGACTATTGTGCTAAGTGAAGTAAGCCAGTCCCCAAAAGCCAAAGGTCAAATGTTTTCTCTGATATGTGGAACCTAACCCACAAAGGGGTGGTGGTTGAAGAGAAGGGAGGGGAGATAGGAAAAGGAAAGACAGTGGAATGAATCTTGACAATTTTCCCATAGACATATATGAAAATAACACAGTGAATCCCACCATCATGTACATCCACAAGAATAAGATATATATACCATGCTTGTATAATTATATCCAAATGGATTTTACTGTCATGTATAACTAAAAAGAACCAATAATTTTTAAAAAATTGCCAAAATGCAGCTATGCTCAACTGATCCCTTATACCAGGGCTACACCCATGGTCGAGCAAACTCTTTACACCCCTTCTTACTTGTTCCCAGCTTTCTTCTCTCCCCTTGTCCCTCTGGCCTGTTAATACCTACCAGGCATCTTGGCCAAGACTTTGGGGTTTCTACCTGTGTTCCCTCAAAATACTGAGCTTTCTACTTATGCACCTTTTCTGACAATATACTGCCTGCCCTGAATGCCTTAGCTCTCATTCCATGCCAACATAAAACACTTCAAAGTCTGCTTCAAGCATGCCTCCCATCAATCTATTTTCATTATCCAACAACATTTAGAGAATTCTTGCCAGGCCTGGGAACCCACTGTGAGTGACACAGGCTCGACTGATTAGGAACCCAGTACATCAGGAGTGAGAGTGGAGAAGAAATCCACCTCACCTTCCTTCCAAGAATTTTGCTTCTGAAAGGGAGGGTGTACAACCTTAAATAAACATTGTTTTAAGCATCTGTCCTTCCCTGGATCACTCTTCCCTTGTCACACAGTTGCACAGCTCAGAACACTGAGGTCATCACTGTGTAAAACAAAGGTAAAGGCCACTCTGTTCAGCATGTCACATTCTAGACTGTGATTTGGACTGCATCTACATGAAATTTAGAAAAGAACCTCTTTCCATTAGAGGAGAACCACTTTTGGTTGTAATGAATACCACTCTCCCTTATCATGTTCTCCTAGTGTGAACTAATAAACACTGAAAAATGGATCGCTTCACTTCTTTTATAAGAACCCTTCTTTTAGAGAACAGGACACTATGATGCTTTAACAGTATATATGTGTAAGGTGAAATGAAATCCTGTAGCATGTTCAGGATCCTGGGCTCAATCCCCAGCACTGCAAAAATAAATAAATACAAGAATGGTAGCAAAAGTGAGTTGTTTTAAATTCCTACACTATCCAGTGTACTAGCTGTTGAAAACCTAGGTCTACAGGTGACGTGGGAGAGAATCTATTGAGATGAAACATAAAATAGTCCACAGCATTTCTAAAAGTGAATACCACCTTACCACTTATCAACAGCTCTGCTTCCCGGTTCCTTACATAATTAGTTACTTGTGCATAGACATTCCATTTGTGTCACTAAGGACATAAGGCCATGAAGTCAGGAGAGGTACCCACAGCCCAACATTACAGGACTCACTATTTTTCTAATCCCTGAAAATTCACTTTAAAGAAAAAATGAGCCAGACGCAGTGGTGCACTCCTGTAATCCCAGTAGCTCCGGAGGCTGAGACAGGAGGATCGCCAGGATTCAAAGCCAGCCTCAGCAACATGCAAGGCGCTAAGCAACTCAGGGAGACCCTGTCTCTAAATAAGATGCAAAATAGGGCTGGGGATGTGGCTCAGGGGTCGAGTGCCCCTGAGCTCAATCCCCTTAACCCCCAACCCCACCCCCCCAAAAGTAAATCAATTACCTTGAGCATGCGGATTTCTCTAAGGGCGATTTTCTTTATGACAGGGTCATCTTCTGATTCCAGAAACCTCTTGATGGCCACGATCTGACCCGTGTCCCTGTTTCTGCATTTGAAAACAACTCCGTAGGATCCTTCTCCAATTTTCCCAATTTTTTCATACTTCTCCATTACAGAGGAATAAATCTTCTTAAAATGGATTTTTTTCACATAGCTTTTCAACGTCGTTTATGAAATATGGGCACGAATGGACTGCACTCGAGCCCCAGTCAGGTAGGGGTCGTTGCTGAGGACCTAGAACAAAGCAAGGGCCCTTGTCCAGGAACGAAGGGAGACTCAAATCTTTAAAGCTCGCCCCCGCCCCGCCCCCAGCAGAGGCCACGCGGTGAGGGATGTGAGCCTAGAGGCAGCGGCCTTAGGTAACCCAATTTTAACCGCCTATTATATACTCTGCAACTTAAAATGTAACCCACCATCCTAAAACGAGCCGAGCTGTAAGATAATCTATCTTTTTAATGTTATAGTTCATCCGATCCAAGACACATGAGCTGGCTGGAGGAGCGGGAAAACTAAGGGCTTCCCCGGTTCTAATTTCGGGTCTCATTTCGCTGCGGCAAGAGGACACCTCCCGGTTCCCCGCGGGGGAGGCGGCGAGGTCCAGCAGCCGGAGACCTCTGGGCCTGCAAGGTGCCCGCCCACGCCCCGGGCCTCTGCGCGGGCCCAGCAGCTCAGCCCCGGGCTCGCGGAGCTCAGCCGCCTCTCGCGCTCCACTGCAACCGCGCGGTGGCAGGAGGACGCCACCCGCGCGGGAGCCTTGCCACTCGCCCCGCGCAGCCTCCGCGGCGCCACGTGGCAGCCTGGGCTCCCCGCACCCCGGCCCCGGGGTGAGCCTGGTTCCTGGCCCGGGACTCACTGCGCCGCGGATGCCCGGCCCCGGCCCTGCTCCCGCCACTCGGTCTCCCGACTCGCTCGGCTGGCGGCGGGCCGGGCCCACGATCCCTATGGGAACCGGCTAGTCTGGGCGGGGCCGCCGCACCCCGACTTCTCTCCTACCCGCCCTGTTCCTCTCGGGAAGAGCTGTCCTGACAGTGGGCCTGGGTCCCTGCATGTCCCGCCCTCAGAGATCCGCAAGACGGCGAACTCCTGCAGGTGGTGGAAAACAGGACACTGTCACCTGGGAACACCCTGCACCGGGCGCCCCCGCCTGTGAAGTCTGCACTTGCCTGGGAGAAGAGTGTGAGCTCCACGGCTCACACTCTTTGGTGTCCCTGCTAGCTTGTAAACGCTTTGAGGACAGCGACTGTGTTCTGATCAGTGCATCAATGAATGAATGAGAGGGAGAAAGGGAAAGAAGATGAAGATATGATGGCTGAAATTGGCTGAAGTCAGCACACCCCTCCACTGGCAGCAATGGCTCCACTGCAGTCGGGCTTTCCCATGTGGAAGGTGGAAGTTTACAGTTTGGGGTTTACCTGATTTAGGTTTCTTTTCTCCATCTTTCTCCCAGTTGGGCGCCTACTGCTCAGATCTGAGCACAATGGTGGGCAGTTGATGGATATGGGGAAATCATGAAATAGGTAAAATGCCAATGGGCCCACCATCTCAACAATTACCATTCATCCCATTCCGTGCGCCCACCAGGAGGTCGATGCTTGCCCCAGAAGCAAAACCTCCAGGGAAAAAATTAAAACACTTGTCTATGAAACAGGTGGCCAGCCCCATACCAAGCAGCATGCTACCAAATGCCAGTCTTAGTGGGGTTCAGGAAGGAGCTGGGAAGAGAGGGTTTTGTGGCTGGCTGGAAAATGGAGAAGCGTATAAATTGGGTCCAGGGATGGCCTAAAAGTGGTCTGTAGACCTCCCAGAAATTCAAATGGCAGCTACTATCAATTTTTTTTTTGTCTCTTTAGCTTTGCCTTTTCCAGAATGTCATATAAATGAACTAATACAGCATACAGCCTTTTGAGAATAAACTTCTTTCAATTAATAGAATGCATTTGAGATTCATCCACCTGGTTGCATTTATCAGCAATGCTTTCATTTTTACTGCTGAGTAGTATTCCACTGTATAGATGTAAGAATATTTGTTTATCTGTTCCTGGTTTTCAGTGATTGTATGTCAAGCTTCTGTAAACATTCATGCATGACTTTTTGTATGATTATACACTTTTATTTCTCTTAGAAAAATACTTAGGAGGGGACTGCTGGGTCATATCATAAGTATATGAGTTTTTGAAAGTCACTGCCAAAATGTTTTCTTGAGTGGCTGTATCATTTTACATTCTTGCCAGCAATGTTCCAATTACTCTATACCTTTACCAGCATTTGGAATGCCAGTTCTTTTGATTTTAGCCATTCTAATAGGTGGGTAGTGATATTTAGTGGTTTCAGTTTGCATTTCTTTAATGATTAAGCCTTATTTATCATTTAGGTGTTTTATCACTTATAGATTCTAGGAGGTTTTTATAAATTCCTTGGGATTTCTGTGTAGACCACCATGTCATCTGAAAACAGGGACAATTTTAGTTCTTCCTAATCAGTATTCCTTTTATTCCCTTTTTAAATAACCATGGTGAGAGCACATATCTGGTCTTAATTGCTCATCTTAGGAGGAAAGCATTCAGTCTTGCACATTAAGTAGAAATATTAGCTGAAGATATTTATTTTTGTGGGTATTATGGTAGACAGCTTTTAAGAGGGTCCTTAATGATCCCTGCCTCCTGATACCTGTGCCCTTTTATACTCCCCTTTTCTAGATTTGATATAGGAAAAGAACATGCCAAAAGTGATGAAATATCTCTTTTGAGATTAGGTTACAAAAAGACTGTGACTTCCCCCTTGGGTACTCTTTTGTGGTCTCTTGTTCACTTGCTCTGAAGGAAGCCAGGTGCCATGTTGTCAGCTATTCTATGGAAAGGAACTGAGAGAGGCCCACAGCTAGGGAAGAATTGAGGCCTCCTGTCCAACAATTCCATGAGAAAGTGAATACTACCAATAACTATGTGAGTGAGCTTGGAAGTGGATCACCCAGTGAGTCTTAAGATCTTGAGACTGGAGTCCCAGACAACAAGTTAAGTTCAACCTTGTGAGAAACCTTGAGCCAGAGGCACTTAGCTAAGTCATACCCGGATTCCTAACCTACAAAAGTTGAGATGAATGTTTGCTGTTGAGTTTGGGGGTAATTTGTTATGCAGCCATATATAACTAACAGAAGCCTTTTATCAGGTTGAGAAAGTTATTTTAATTCCTAGTTTGCTTTGTTTTTTAAAATCATGAATGAATATTTGTCAAACTCTTTTCTTTGTGGTTGCACATGCCTGCAGTCCCAGCAACTTGCAAGGCTGATGCAGGAGGATCACAAGCTTCAGTAACTTAGTGAAACCTGTCTCAAAAAATAAAAAGGACTAAGAATGTAGCCTAGGATAAAGCCACTCTGGGTCCCTAGATTCCATCCCAGTACCAAATCAACAACAACAGCAACTTAATCTATATATCATATTATTTTTCTTATTAAGTTTGTTGCTACAGTAAATTACACTGATATTTAAAATGTGGAGCCAGGCATGGTGGTACACAGCTGCAATACCAGTGGTTCATGAGGCTGAGGCAGGAAACACTTTTGAAATCATTTTAGGAGATCAGCATTACCCTGATACCAAGAGTAGACAAAAAACTATAGCTCAGTATCTCTCAGAAACATTGAACATTCTCAATAAAATACTCCAATTCCATTCAACAGTACGTTAGAATGATAGAACATGATAAATAAGTTGGGTTTATCCTAACAATGAGAGGCTGGGTCCATATATATATATATATTCTTTTTTTGGCACTGGGGATTGAACCCACGGGCGCTTTACCATTGAGCTACCTCCCCTGTCCTTTTTATTTTTTATTTTGAGACAGGGTCTTTGGCTAAGTTGCTGAGGCTAGACTTGAATTGTCTTAACCTTGCTTCTGTCTTAACCTCCTGAGTCTCTGGGATTATAGGCATGAGCCATTGTGCCCCAAGGTATTTTCCTTTGAAGTACCACTCCAAAGGCATCACAGAAATCTTGATATGTTGTATTTTTATTTTTATTCTGTTCAAAATATTTTCTAATTTCCCTTGTGACTTTCTGCTTGACCCATGGGTTATTTTGAAATGTGTTGTTTAAATTCCAGCTATTTGGGGATTTTCCAGATATCTCTCGGTTATTGAGTCCCAGTTTAATTCCAGTGTTTTCTGAGAACTTATTTTGTAGGATTTAAATTCTTTAAAATGTGTTGAAGTTGGCTTTATGGCCCAGGATGTGGTCTATGTTGGTAAATGTTTCTGACAATTAAATGTTTTGAAATGAAATGAGAAAATCAGTGTGAATTTCTCCAGAGCTACCTTGTCTGAAGTTCATACCAGGTTAAATAAAGTTAGTTTGGAAAATTAACTTTATGGACTCCACAAGGTTCAGTACCCAAGGAACCTGGGACAGTGCCAAGCCCAGCAGTAGGAAGAGCAGGGAGCGGGTGTGCCAGCTGTTTATGCCCAAGCAGGCAGTGAACCAGAAAGGTGGCGTGACTTGCAGCTGTGAGCTGTTTTGTTCCGGAGAGCTGGAGCAGAATATCAGAGAACAACTTTGAAAGGGAGACAAACAGTTGATGTCACCATTTAGCAAGAGACACCATTTAGAGACAAGACATGGCCTCTAGACTGTCAAATCGACAGTCCTTTCAGTTGGCAGGGCTTAACTGGTTTTGATATCAAAGAAGTTTAACTCCCGGGAAGTATAACTCTTGGGAAACTGAGAAATGGTCTGGTATGTGGGTTTTTTTTTCCTAAAGCAAGTGCAAAGAACAGTGAAACCATATTATTTTCCACTTACAGCGGAGCTGTGTAATTAGAATATTTTGGCATCCCTAGAGTAGCACAAAGAGTACTGTGGTATTTTAATCATTTAAGGAAATAATAAACATTCAGCTGAGTAACTCATGGAAACAGAAGGAGCCTAGAATTTGGAGTCAGAAGACAGGATTTATTTCTACCCTCTTACTGGTGTTTGATCCTATGCATGAGAATCAATGTCACCAATACAATAACTACAACAACTGGTTCAGGAGTGCCAATCTGGAGGCAGCCACTGTGTTAAGCATATTTTACACCCGAGCCTCACCATATCCCTAGGGGATAGACATTTGATAAGCAATATCCTCCTGAGGTTTCAGATGAGAAAACTGAGTTACAGGGGACGAGTAAGTTGTAAGGACACACAGCTAGTGGCTTGTGAGGGAGATCTGGAATGCAGACTGTATGCAGATAGTTTGACTCCAGAAACTGGAGTTACCTAATGTATAACGGCGATCGTTGGGATTTTTTCAGGACATTGCAAGTTGACTCAAAGTACTTATGATGTATACAATCTTAGCATCCCTTCTTTTTTTTAATCTGCCTGGAAGAGGACTCTTGTCATTATGCTTCCTTTTCATGGTAGTTCAGCAACTTGGTCTATGTGCAGCTTCAAACTCAGGAGAGTGATTGGCCTCGGGTTGGGCAGAATACTGGCACTTTGGCCAGAGCTTATCCAGGGGTAATGCTCAATTATGTTTCCTGTAAGGAAAACTTGAGTCATGGACATTGTAAAATAT